ACACAGGACGGGATCGTCCTGTTCCGGTCCCGTCCCGATATCTATAATTTTTTTAAAATATTTTATATTATATTATGAGTTATATATTATTATTATTAAATGTTAAAAAGTAAAAAAAATAAAATATGAAGCCCTAAGTCTCTGCCTCTCTCCAGTCTCCAGTTTTTCACTTTTGTTCTATTCAGACAGCAACGACTGACAGAAGTAGTGAACCATGTCTCGCGCCCTCACTAAAGGCTGAAGCTCTCACCAGTCACCTCTCAGTCTCTGCTCTTGGCTATTCTCTCATCTGCAAAGTGCGAAAGAGGCCGCCAGATAGCAGTGCTTAGTGCTTAGTAATTCACTCTGCCTCTTTCGTCTCGACTTCGTCTCTTCACTCATGGAGTCACGGTCCTACTCTCCAGTTCTAGCGTCTATTGAAGTCGCAACCTTCACAGCTTCTCTCTGGCCCCCAGTCCATTGTCAGCGTCAGTCTTTGCTGTAGACCGCAGACTTACCTCATCTCGTTTCCAATCTGTTCAATTTTTGCTTTCTCTGTTTCTCATACTCGTGAGTTTTCACTACTTTTCTTGATCTTGGAGTCTTTAAAAATCCCTTTTAATATCTTTTTCTCCATCCATGCTTGTTGATTTCATCTTAATAGCCAACACAATATTTTGCCTCTTTGTATGAATATGGACTATGGATTGGCCGATTGGGATCTGTCTGATATTCTTCAGAAATGAGATAGAGAAGAGAAAATCTTTAGTGAAATGAGTAAAAACCACCGAGTTAATTTGCCTCATTTGCTGGTTCTCTGAATTTTCTTAGATGTTGAATTCTTTTATAATTTATAGGTATCATTCTCTGTTTGATGGTTTGTGAAGTAGTAATATATATATAATTGTAGATTCAGTGTTTAATTTCTAGATTTTGCTATTAACACTGTACGAAAAATTTTACTATAAATTCTTGAAAACTAATTGAGCCTTTATCATCATTTTGAAGCACTTCTCTTTGTGAAGAAAGATGACCTCTATCACAAACACTGCTAAAGGAAACACTCAAACAACTAAAGGAAACACTTAAACACTGTCACAGACTATTGAACAAGCTTTAGGACAAGCAGATAATGAAGATCAAATTACTGCATCATGTAACATCCTGAGTTTTATCGGGTTTTAATAGCCTCTTTTGGGTTGATTTTGAGGATAGATTAGTAATTAAATCTTGATCTTGGTGTTTGGGTTAGATTTGAGGTATGTTGGAGGAATAGGTGAACGTATCCCTCTCAGGGTATGTTCGCCGCGGCGCACCAGGAGTTTCAGAGGGGAGTGTCTTCTCGGGAAGGTTTGGCCGCGGCGAAGTTGTTCAGGTGAGCGAGGCTTCCCTTTCGGGAAGGTTTCGCCGCGGCGAAGGTAGGGGTATGCCGCGGCGAATGTTTTCTGGGCGAGCGAGAGTTTCCTCTCGGGAAGCCTTCGCCACGGCGAAAGGTCGCGAATCTATATATTCGCGGGAGCAGTTCAGCGTGCGAAAAATAAGAAAATCTGAGGTAGAGAGAGAGGCTATGCTAGGGTTTCGGTATTTTGGCTTGGAGGGGGCAATTCTAAGGATCCATTACCTCAAGTAAGTGATTTTAACCTCTAATCTATCTTCTTGATTGGAATTTATAAGGATTTATGGTGAAACCCTAGGACTTTCTAGGTTATGTTGGAACTGAGGTTTTTGACCGATTGTTTTGAGTTTAATTGATTGCATTGGGTTAGTTTAAGTATTTAATCGGTGTAGTTTCCTTGGATTTAAAGAATCTTGAATTTTTAGAGCTAGGGTTTATGGAAATGGGAGGTTTGTGATTGAGGATGATAATGTAGAGGTTGATTTTGAGTTTTGTGAATTGGGTTGTGTTAATGAGGGTTAAATTGGATGTTTAATCGGTTTAGATTTGTTGTTGGAACCTTAATTGCTCAAATGGGATGTTGAAGGTTGAATTCCTATAGTGGGTCCTTGAGGTTTGAACTCTAATTGATGCTTGGAAGGAGACTTGATGTTTTAATAGACTTTGAGGACTTTGGAGTGTTGTTTTGATAGTTATACCCTTTGAGTTGGGTAGAGTTTTGATGGGAGATAGGAATTTTGTGTCCCCAAGTGTTATTTTGGCCACATTATTAGTTTGAAAGCTAATATATGATGGTTGTGTGTTTGTGTGCTTGTGTAGACCGGTTGTGAGTCTTGGTGGTGCACGGGGCCACATCGTTGGTTTATTGTTCCTTACTCAGGCGAGAGGTAACCACTTTCCAATCCTTAGTACTTGCTTTTGTGGTATTGTGAGTAGATTTATGTTTTGTGCTCTAAATAGAAATTATGTTCAAACTGTATGTTGTGTATAAAAAGGAAAACCGTCTTGTGGGGTCTCGACTAGTGATGAATGAGTTTTGGAATTGTGAAAGATATGCCACTGAATGAGGTTAATTGTGAAATGATTATTACTCTTTGATTATGATTTGAGCATGATGCATGATTTGGGATTTGGTGAGAGTTTGATAGTTACTACCACGTGGTAAGGCCTCCATTAATGCATGATGGTTGGCTTAGTACGTCCCCCATAGTGAGGGATAGGCCTTTTGGCTCCTTACGTCCCCCAGAGTGAGGGATAGGCCTTTTATGGCTCTTTACGTCCCCCATAGTGAGGGATAGGCCGGCTTCGGCTCCTGAAAATCCCCCAAAGTGAGGGATTCGGTTGATGGGATTGCATCATTGCACTTACATGAATTGTTGTGGCTATCGTTTTATATTAATTGTGAACTGCCCCACTTGACACCTCACGAGCACCTATTTAGTAGTACCTAGTATTGGAAAGGTTGGTTACTGGGACTCCGTCTCACCCCGTGGTTTACAATGTTTTCAGGTGAAGGTTCTGGGCGTGGGCCATCGGGAAGAGACGCAGAGGCTTGAGCTTGGTTAGCTTTAGGCCTCTAGCATTTGTATATGTATGACTAGTATATATTGCCACATTTAGGACTGCTTTTTGATATATTTGATTACTCGGCCTTGTTGTAAACTGGAGAGAATGTATCTCCTTATTTTGGTTGGCCGGAGGCCATTGCTAGTGTTTTATGAACTCTGGATTATTTGGTTGGGAATCATTTAGATGGGCTGATGTGATGTCTGTTGTTACCCGGGCCTAGGGCTGAGCAATGGGCGGGGTGGGCTAACCCGAAGGTTAGCCCATAGCCCGCCCATTTATTTATAAATGGGCATGGGCTAACCCATAACCCGGTAGTAGTCCATTTAGCCCATATTAAATGGGCTACGGGGCAGCCCGTTTGGGCTGACCGGGTTATGGAGTAACCCATTTATTTTTTTAAATTTTTTTTCAATATAATTATTTTATATATGTAACCTTATGAAGCTGTTAATAAATTTTACATGCCAAATAGCAAATCAAATATGAAATAACATCAACCATATTCAATCACACAACCTTACTTAGATTCGCAAACAATTAAAGTCTGCTAAAATCATAAAAATAGTCACCAATCATAAAGTCTCATAAACTTTGAAAGTTTCAACTTTTACCTAAAGGATAAAATAAAAACTTAGACAAGTATGATGAAGGTTTGATAAAATATGAATGAGAAACAATATCATCAATTAAATGAAGAATAAAAATATTTTTAAAAACTTAAAACTTAAATGGGCGGGTATGGGCAGCCCAATACCTTGCCCATAACCCAACCCGTTTAATGGGCTACCTCGCCCATTTAAGCCCGCCCGTTTATAATCTCTTATTTGGGCTAATTGGGCGGGCTTAAATGGGCAAAAATTTCATGGGTTATGGGCGGGCTAGCGGGTAATGGGTTTGTTGCTCACCCCTACCCGGGCCGGAGGCTCGGAGGCCCAGTAGATGTAAATGAACGATTTCAGTTGCATGCAACGGTTTAAATGTGAATTCAAAATTACGCAAATTTCTTCCTACTATGGTAGTACATTTAACAGATTTCCTTTTCTACCATAGTAGTGGTTTTATGACAGGTTATAATGTTTTGGGAGGTTAAGGGTCTTATAAATTGGTATCAGAGCCGGTTTGTTTCTTTGAAATTGTTTCTTTTCCTAGTGGCAATATACATACTTCATACATACCTTCCCTCTTTGTTTTGTGTTTCCTTTCTTTCTTTACTAATGAGGGTTTCCATCCTTAGTTGGGGAGAGGAAGGATGGTACGGACACGTCAAACAGATCCAGCCGGTAATGGACCGCCTCAAGAGAATGAGGCTTTTCTGAGACAAATGAGGGAGATGATGACAGCGGTGGTAGATGAAAGGTTGAGAAAGTTTGAGGAAGACTTCACAAGGAAGCACCAAGAGTCGGTCAATCAAGAGGACCGAGAGAATGAGGTGACTATGGAGGCACGAGGAGTAGGAGAAAGAGGGGTTAGGAGTGGTGATCGAGCTGGAGATTTACCTCAGAGGGAGGAGTATCGAGCGGCTAGCCAGGAAGGAGATACTTCAGAGGGAGTGATTTACCCTCCACTACTGAATGACATAACCAAGGCATGGAGAGAGGTGCATCGTCATGATCCTCCCCAGTTCAAGGGAAGTTTGGAACCGTCAGATGCAGAGAAGTGGATTGAGCGGATGGAGACAATCTTTACTGCTGTTCCTTGTCTTTCCCCGCTCAAGGTACAAGTGGCGGTCACCTATCTTGTGGAGCAAGCAAGGCATTGGTGGGATAGTGCAAGACCTTCTGATATATCTCAGTTGGACTGGGATACTTTCAAGTGGATGTTCTATGATCACTTCTTTCCAAAGGAGTTGCGAATGGAAAAGCAATTCCTGTTCTACTCCTTGAAGCAGGGCGAGATGCATGAGGACCAGTTTATCACAAAGTTTATAGATTTGGCAAAGTATGTGCCTAGGCAGACGGAAGATCATTCACTCTGGTTAGCTCAACAATTGATGAACCGTGCAAGGCCGGAGTTGAAATAGCAGTTGGCCTTGTTAGAGGTCAAGACCTTTGAGGAGATGTGTGTGAAGCTGCGGGTTGCAGCTAGAAGGACAAGAGGAGTGGTAGAGGCAAGGAGGGCTGAGAATCAAGCTAGAGCGACCCGTTATCCTGGTCCTACAGGAGGAGTGGGGAAAAAGGAGTCAATACAGCTCTGGGAGCTCGAGTAGCTCAGGGAGAAACAGGAACCAAGGGCAGAATCAGAGGGTGAACGCTCAGAGGGGCTTTATGCAAAGACGCTAGAATCCAAACAATCAGACTGGTGGGGGACAGGGCTCCCGTTGAGATTCATCAGTGACCACCCCGAGTGTTACTGGACTGTGCCCCAGATGTGGGGGTAGGCATGCGGGGCAATGCTGGGAGTGCTTTCGATGCCACCGGTGGGGACATATTGCCAGAAACTGTCCAGAGAGTCAGCCGACACCTCAAGCTGGTCGTTCTACTGTTCCAGGACGTGTCTATGCGATGACAAATGAGGAGGCTTCTGCATCTCCGAACTTGATTCGAGGTAACATTCTACTTGAGGGACATGTTATTTCTGCTTTATTTGACTCGGGTGTTACGCACTCCTTTATTTCTGTGGACTGTGCTCAGAAGTTGAGCTTGCCTGTAGTTGAGCTACCTTATGACTTAAGAGTGTCTACTCCTGCTGGAGTCACTGTCGTAACTGGAAGAGCGTGTCTAGAGCTTGCACTTCAGTTTGAGAATCGAGATTCTATAATAGATTTGTTTTGTCTACCTCTGAGAGGTATTGACGTGATTATTGGCATGAACTGGTTGATGGCCAATGGAGCAATCCTTGATTGTAAAAGGAGGTTGGTGACAATTCCGGTAGGTGCCTTATGTGCTGAGATGTCAAGTGGTCCGGTTTTGTTGTCAGCTGCTCAAGTAGAGAAGGCAGTGAGGAAGGGCTGCCAGGCCTTCATTGTCTTCTTTTCAATTAGTGAGGATGAGGCAGGAGGAATTGAACAGATAGCTGTGGTGAGAGACTACCCCAAGTGTTTTCAGATGAGGTTGCAGGACTACCTCCAGAGCGAGAAGTGGAGTTCTCCATAGAATTGGTTCCAGGAACCACCCCAATCTCTAAGGCTCCCTATAGAATGTCTCCTTCAGAATTAGTCGAGTTGAAAAAGCAACTAGAAGAATTGCTAGAAAAGGGACTTATCCGACCAAGTGTGTCACCGTGGGGATCGCCGGTTTTGTTTGTGAGGAAGAAAGATGGTAGCTTGAGGTTGTGCATCGACTACCGACAATTGAACAAGGTCACAATCAAGAACAAGTACCCATTGCCTAGAATTGATGACCTATTGGACCAATTAGTTGGAGCATCAGTTTTCTCTAAGATTGATCTGAGGTCGGGATACCATCAGTTAAGGGTTCGAGCAGAAGACATTTCAAAAACGGCCTTTCGAACTCGTTATGGACATTATGAGTTTTTGGTGATGCCTTTTGGACTGACAAATGCTCCAGCTGTCTTTATGGACTACATGAATCGAATCTTCCAACCTTATTTGGACAGATTTGTGGTAGTGTTCATCGATGACATTCTAATTTATTCTAGAAGTGAGGAAGAACATCGAGAGCATCTTCACATCGCACTACGGATATTGAGGGATCACCAGTTGTATGCTAAGCTGTCAAAGTGCGAGTTTTGGCTAAAAGAAGTGAAGTTCTTGGGTCATGTGGTGTCAGCTCAGGGAGTAGCAGTGGATCCTAACAAAGTGGACGCGGTACTTAAGTGGGAAGTCCCCAGATCGGTAACTGAGGTGCGGAGTTTTGTGGGATTAGCTGGATACTATCGGAGGTTCATCCAAGGCTTTTCTCAGATTGCAATGCCATTGACCAAGTTAACCAAGAAGGATCAACCGTTTGTTTGAACGGAGAAATGTGAATCAGCGTTCCAAGAGCTGAAGACCAAGTTAACTACAGCTCCAGTGCTTACTCTTCCAATCCCCGGAGTACCTTATGTTCTTTACACCGATGCATCACTAAAGGGTTTGGGTTGTGTGTTAATGCAGAACAATAAAGTGGTGGCATACGCTTCCAGGCAGCTAAGGCCACATGAAGAAAACTACCCAACCTATGACTTGGAGCTAGCGGCAGTAGTTTTTGCACTAAAGATCTGGAGGCATTATCTGTATGGCTCCCAGTTCGAAGTCTTCAGTGACCATAAAAGTTTGAAGTACTTGGTGGATCAGAAAGAGTTGAACAACCGGCAGCGTCGTTGGATGGAGTTCCTGAAGGACTATGATTTTGAGATTAAGTATCATCCTGGAAAAGCAAATGTGGTAGCGGATGCTCTGAGTAGAAAAGCAGTGCATGTGTTCTGCATAAGCTTAAAGGAACAATTCTTGCTCGAGGAGTTATTAGAGATCCCAATTGTACCGTCGGAGCAAGCTACTCTATGTGCAGTACTTGGGGATTATGAATTCTATCAGGATCTACGAGCGGCTCAATGGGAAGATGATCAGTTGGCAAAGATTCGGGTAGAATTGGAGGATGGCCCAGTACAGGACTATGAACTTGGAGATATGGGCATCCTGAAGTATAAGAACCGGATTTGTGTTCCCCAGGACGAGGAGATTAAAAGAACTATCCTAGAGGAGGCACATCGAAGCCGTTACGCCATCCACCCCGGAGTAACCAAGATGTACCATGACCTAAAGCAACAGTATTGGTGGCCCAACATGAAGAAGGAGGTGACTGACTTCGTACTTCGGTGTTTGACCTGCCAGAAGGTCAAGATAGAGCATCAACGACCTGGAGGTTTATTACAAGGGCTAGAAATTCCTCAGTGGAAGTGGGACAGCATCTCCATGGACTTCATTGTAGGTTTGCCGAGGACACCCGAAGGGTATGATGCTATTTGGGTGGTGGTGGACAGATTGACAAAATCTGCTCACTTTTTACCCTACAAAGTCAATTATACCTTGGAGAGAATGGCCAAGTTGTACATGGATGAAATCGTCAGGCTTCATGGTGTTCCGTCGAGTATAGTCTCGGACCGAGATCCACGCTTTACTTCTAACTTTTGGAAAGCGGTGAATGCGGCTTTGGGTACTAAGTTGAAGTTCAGTACAGCATATCACCCACAGACCGATGGACAGACCGAGCGGACAATTCAGACACTAGAGGATATGTTGAGGGCTTGTGCCATTGAATTCAAGGGGAGTTGGATTGATCACTTACCCTTAACTGAGTTTGCCTACAACAACAGCTACCATGCCAGCATCCAGATGGCCCCTTATGAAGCACTCTACAGCCGGAAGTGTAGATCGCCTCTTTGCTGGACGGAACTGAGTGAAAGAACGGTTTTAGGACCAGATTTGGTAGATGCTACTACAGAGAAGATTGAGATCATCAAGCAGAAGTTGTTGACAGCTCAGAGCCGGCAAAAGAGTTATGCTGATAAGAGGAGGAGACCATTGGAGTTTTGTGAGGGTGACCATGTGTTTTTGAGGGTCACGCCGACTACTGGTATTGGGAGGTCCATTAAAGCGGGAAAGCTATCTCCTAGATTTCTTGGACCCTTTGAAATTCTGAAGAGAATTGGAGAAGTAGCCTATCGAGTTGCTTTGCCACCGCACCTGTCCAACGTATATGATGTGTTCATGTGTCCCAACTAAAGAAGTACCACCCTGATCCGTCTCACATCTTAGAGTCTGAGGAGGTGGAGTTGGATGACAATCTAACTTACCAGGCTGAACTGGAAAGGATCCTTGATGTGAAGGACAAGCAGTTGAGGAATAAGACCATTCAATTGGTGAAAGTCTTCTGGAAGGGCATGAGTCCTGGTGATGCCACCTAGGAGACAGAGGAAAGGATGCGACGTGATTACCCTCGTTTGTTTTCTTAGTAAGTGTTTTGTGTTTGTTTGTGTGGTGTTTTGTGTGATTGCTTGAATTTTGGGGACAAAATTCCTTAGTTGGGGAGAATTGTAACATCCTGAGTTTTATCGGGTTTTAATAGCCTCTTTTGGGTTGATTTTGAGGATAGATTAGTAATTAAATCTTGATCTTGGTGTTTGGGTTGGATTTGAGGTATGTTGGAGGAATAGGTGAACGTACCCCTCTCAGGGTATGTTCGCCGCGGCGCACCAAGAGTTTCAGAGGGGAGTGTCTTCTCGGGAAGGTTTGGCCGCGGCGAAGTCTAGGGGACGCCGCGGCGAAGTTGTTCAGGTGAGCGAGGCTTCCCTTTCGGGAAGGTTTCGCCGCGGCGAAGGTAAGGGTATGCCGCGACGAAGATTGGGGTTCGCCGCGGCGAAGTCAGGTTTTCAGGCAAGTAATCCCTCTCGGGATTAGTTCGCCGCGGCGAAAGGTCGCGAATCTATATATTCGCGGGAGCAGTTCAGCGTGCGAAAAATAAGAAAATCTGAGGTAGAGAGAGAGGCTCTGCTAGGGTTTCGGTATTTTGGCTTGGAGGGGGCAATTCTAAGGATCCATTACCTCAAGTAAGTGATTTTAACCTCTAATCTATCTTCTTGATTGGAATTTATAAGGATTTATGGTGAAACCCTAGGACTTTCTAGGTTATGTTGGAACTGAGGTTTTTGACCGATTGTTTTGAGTTTAATTGATTGCATTGGGTTAGTTTAAGTATTTAATCGGTGTAGTTTCCTTGGATTTAAAGAATCTTGAATTTTTAGAGCTAGGGTTTATGGAAATGGGAGGTTTGTGATTGAGGATGATAATGTAGAGGTTGATTTTGAGTTTTGTGAATTGGGTTGTGTTAAGGAGGGTTAAATTGGATGTTTAATCGGTTTAGATTTGTTGTTGGAACCTTAATTGCTCAAATGGGATGTTGAAGGTTGAATTCCTATAGTGGGTCCTTGAGGTTTGAACTCTAATTGATGCTTGGAAGGAGACTTGATGTTTTAATAGACTTTGAGGACTTTGGAGTGTTGTTTTGATAGTTATACCCTTTGAGTTGGGTAGAGTTTTGATGGGAGATAGGAATTTTGTGTCCCCAAGTGTTATTTTGGCCACATTATTAGTTTGAAAGCTAATATATGATGGTTGTGTGTTTGTGTGCTTGTGTAGACCGGTTGTGAGTCTTGGTGGTGCACGGGGCCACATCGTTGGTTTGTTGTTCCTTGCTCAGGCGAGAGGTAACCACTTTCCAATCCTTAGTACTTGCTTCTGTGGTATTGTGAGTAGATTTATGTTTTGTGCTCTAAATAGAAATTATGTTCAAACTGTATGTTGTGTATAAAAAGGAAAACCGTCTTGTGGGGTCTCGACTAGTGATGAATGAGTTTTGGAATTGTGAAAGATATGCCACTGAATGAGGTTAATTGTGAAATGATTATTACTCTTTGATTATGATTTGAGCATGATGCATGATTTGGGATTTGGTGAGAGTTTGATAGTTACTACCACGTGGTAAGGCCTCCATTAATGCATGATGGTTGGCTTAGTACGTCCCCCATAGTGAGGGATAGGCCTTTTGGCTCCCTACGTCCCCCAGAGTGAGGGATAGGCCTTTTATGGCTCTTTACGTCCCCCATAGTGAGGGATAGGCCGGCTTCGGCTCCTGAAAATCCCCCAAAGTGAGGGATTCGGTTGATGGGATTGCATCATTGCACTTACATGAATTGTTGTGGCTATCGTTTTATATTAATTGTGAACTGCCCCACTTGACACCTCACGAGCACCTATTTAGTAGTACCTAGTATTGGAAAGGTTGGTTACTGGGACTCCGTCTCACCCCGTGGTTTACAATGTTTTCAGGTGAAGGTTCCGGGCGTGGGCCATCGGGAAGAGACGCAGAGGCTTGAGCTTGGTTAGCTTTAGGCCTCTAGCATTTGTATATGTATGACTAGTATATATTGCCACATTTAGGACTGCTTTTTGATATATTTGATTACCCGGCCTTGTTGTAAACTGGAGAGAATGTATCTCCTTATTTTGGTTGGCCGGAGGCCATTGCTAGTGTTTTATGAACTCTGGATTATTTGGTTGGGAATCATTTAGATGGGCTGATGTGATGTCTGTTGTTACCCGGGCCGGAGGCTCGGAGGCCCAGTAGATGTAAATGAACGATTTCAGTTGCATGCA